ATTAAGATAAAAGACACGAAGCAAATAACCAAGAAAAAAGGACTCTCTGCCTTACAAGTATTAATTTTTTGGCATAACAAATAATGGAACTACTCACTTAATGATTGAGCTATCAGAGGCAAATAACGTTAGTACTCTCTCTCTCTCTCTCTCTCTCTCTCTCTCTATATATATATATATATATATATATATATGTGTGTGTGTGTGTGTGTGTGTATGATAAGTACTAAATTAAACCATAACAATCTTCTAATCCACATATACACTCCATATGGCAAGGAAATTTTAAATATAAAAAAAATAACTATAATTAAAATCGATGACCTCAATCAAACTAGATACCCATTGAAATATCATTCTCAACAACATCTAATGCATCATCGTCAATGTTCTTCTTATTATCCTATCTTCTGATAACTTTGGCCCCAAGAATTGTCATTGTATTCTGTAGAATTGATGAAAATGTAAGATAAATAAATAAATAATTAGCTAAAAGACGAAAACCAATCGTAAGAAGACCAAGAAGGAAAGTGTGAATATGCTTTTTAGATTGATGAAAAAGAACTAATTTGCATTCTTACCTACCAACAACATGAAATTATGATCAAATACATTAACCCAAAAGACTCAAAAGCAATGCAGCTAGAAGAGACAGATGGACAATTAAAATAGGAGTAATAGGAAATATCCAAGTTTTAATACTTTTAGCCAATTTTATAGCTCCTATCACCTCCACATCATTTGAAGCACTTGATATTGGAAAAATGTTCAACTATCAAACAATATTAAATAATAAAAGATTTACAAAACACTTAAAATCAACATAAAAATGGAAGGCAAGAGTTAGAAAGTCTACAAAAGCATTTTATCGAACACCTAAATTACAAAATATATTTTCGCAATATCGGAAGTAAAATAACCATGGAAGCAAATAAAAATATCATTAAATCAAACACATGAATGCAAAAGCACAAGAAGATTAACCACCGTACGAAGAACAATAATCAGATTTCAATTGCAAGAGTTTAGCATTTAATATGGCGATAATAAAATTACATGTATGATATCAATTCGCATATTTCGTTCTCCATCATGAACCTCAAGATAAGGGCTTCATAACTGAAAAAATATTTTTATTTTTTGCAAGAAACATCTCTCAAGTCTCAATTCATTGTGGATAGGCTATCCCCCATCTGTGAAAATAGGTATATAGAGAGTATCGAGAGAGAAAGAGAGAGACAATGAAGTTACCTAGGATGGTTGCTGGTGATGGCGAGACAGAGATTAGTTGGGCAGCAGGAAAATGAGAGCCTTTACAGTGTCTACTGAAATAATTTCGTGATATACAATGAAGACCTAAAAAGTATTGGAGGGAAAAGGTGATTGATGTCGAAAAAATTGGAGGGACAGGTTTCAAAATTTCACTTTCAATTAGTGCTTTAGTGGTCATTCTTTTCTATTGCGGGCAAAAGGTATATTTTCCTGGCCAATGCTCATTAGCCACTACTTTTTTATTTGTAAGATATATTTAGCAGCAATTAACTTATTACCACTAAATAATTGCCATTAAAAGTACTTTTTTTGTAGCGAGCCTACCTGGAGAACAAAGGGAAAGCAATTCAAGTGCTGGAAATCAGGAGCCCACCTGGAGAACAAAGGGAAAGCAATTCAAGTGCTGGAAATCAGGAGCCCACCTGCAGAACAAAGGGAAAACAAGTTTCGAGGGAAAACAGTTCAAGTGATGGAAATCAGGAGCCCACCTGGAGAACAAAGTGAAAACGAGTCAAGTTTCGAGGGAAAACAGTTCAAGTGATGGAAATCAGGAGCCCACCTGGAGAACAAAGTGAAAACGAGTCAAGTTTCGAGGGAAAAGCAGTACAAGTGTTAGAAATCAGGAGCCCACCTAGAGAACAAATGGAAAGCAACAATATTCAAAGGAAGATGGTTCAAGTTCAGCAATCAAGAGCCCACCTGGAGAACAAAGGGAAAATGAGTCAAGTTCGAGGGAAAAGCAGTACAAGGGTTGGTAATCAGGCGCCCACCTAGAGAACAAAGGGAAATCAACAATGTTCAAAGGAAGACGGTTCAAGTTCAGCAATCAGGCTCCCACCTGGAAAACAAAGAGAAAACAATTCAAGTTTCAGAGGGAAGGAATAGAATTCAAATATTGGTAATCAGGCGCCCACCTGGAGAACAAGGAGAAGGCAGTCCAAGTTCGAAGGAAGATAGTTCGAGTATTGGCAATCAGACACCTACCTTGAGAATAAGGGAATTCACTTCAGAATGCAATTCAAGTCAGCAACAAAAGAAGATCGCGGCAATAATGCGAGTCAACAGTCCGAGGTGATCAACAGAAGTTAGTCACAATCCAGAATTAAAAAAAAAAGAAAAAAAAAGAAAGGCAAGAAGTGAATCCAAACGCAAAAGTTGATGAAAGATGTGAGATGCTCAAGACATGCCTGAAGTTACAAGCATGGTATGTCCGGTTTTGATCCGAAAAGCTGAAAAAGAATGAACTAGCACCTGCAACTAGCAAGCGTCAAGGTTCAAATCCAAAGTCTGCATGAAGAACCATTCAAGACTCAAGATCAAGCTTCAGAAGACTTATAGATAGGAATCTTGTAACTCATTAGTTGACAGGCTTAGCTAGTCTTTTTCATTTATTGATTTTTGATGTAATAACAGGACCGCGAACCAGAACCTCGACGAAACGGCACCTTGACCGGCTCTCCACCTCGGTATACTCCATCATCTCACTCACTTCTGAACTGTACGTGGTCTGATTCCTTTATAACCAAGGATATGTAGGCATCTCAGATACCAGGGCTCGGTCACATTCTCCTTTCTCTTAGTTTTTGGTCTCCCTAAATAAGGGTCGGGTCAAAAAACCTGTCTAGTCGTTCTTTGTTTGAAAATACTTCGTATTTCTAGTCAAAGAGGGGCAGCTGTAGACATGTGATTTTTTACACTCTCCAAGATTTTTTATATTTTTAGCATGTATATATTTAATTTAGGCATACTATTGTTATTTCAATTAATTTTGACCCTTTTACTTTATTTTATTACAAGAAAATAAAACAAAAATAGTTTTATTGATGTTTTGTAGTCATTTTTAATCTTGAAAAATACCAAAATAGTTTTGTTTTAACAGTCAGCCTTATTTTAATAGTTATTTTACTTAACTAGGATTAATTAATAAATGGGATCATATTTTTAGTCTCGTTCGCAGGTAAAGAATAAAACTTGGGCTCGAGCAATCCATTTTTAGGCCTAATTTTTGGACCTAGCACATAATTCTCAAGCCCATAATTCCTAGGCCCATACCTCCTAACCTAAAAAAACCCTATAAAATAATTAGACTCTAAGACCTAGACATAGAGATCCTTAGCTGAAATCCGTTGTTCTTCTTAAGACTATAAGCGAAAATACCACCTAAAAAATGTCTAAGACCTAAAAAATCCCGAACCCAAAAAATGGAACGGCAACATCCCACCAACCTAGCAACCTAACAACCTAACAACAGACCCTTTAGGATAATTAAAGCCCACTACCGTCTCCCAAATTTCCCCAAATAAAAGACCTTCAAGGTCTAGTTTTCCTCAATTCCAAACACACAAAAACAGAGGGAGGGATAGATCTGAAGAGGGGGACACGAGAGAACACGGGTAGGAAAACAAACAAAGCTTATCAATTTGAGTTCATCCTCCAGATTTACCATGTTAATTTAAGAGCTTCTCTTGCTTTTGCCATTTGGGAAAACCATATCCATTTCATCTTCAAAACCCCGCAAGCCACACCTTCTCACGCAAATCCTCCGTCAAACACCAGGGAAACGCAGCTCCAAACCAGCTGTATCGTAGTATAACCACAGTTATTTTCCAGCGAGTTTTGGTTTAATTCGAATTTTCCGGTGAGTTCCGAGTTCGTCGAAGGTCGTAATCTGAGGTTTCCGGGCAGATTTGCGGTTCTGCCGAGGTTGTCACTGTCTAAGGTTTCCAGTGTTAAGCATTTTTAGATTCAAAAATTGCTTTGTTTTGAGGTCTGTTTCTTTTCTTGGTGCTATATAATTTGTTTGAAATTATTTTTATGCTCTATACTTTTTGCTCGACATAGATAAATCATGATTTAGTCATTTCTTGCGTTAATGTTTAACATTTTAGTCGTTGACTCTTATCTATTCATTTATGATTAATTTGCTCGTTTAGTTTGAAACAGTGTTGATAAATATTGAGATTTTGTTAAGTTGCATTTTTGTTTGGGTTCTGATTTTAAACTTTAGAGTAGTTGGTCTAGTAGGCAATTGATCCATGGCTTTTCTTCGTTAATTAGTTAAGAATGACAATTTTTTAAATGTTTGAGCTATCAAATTATTTTTTTCCTAGATCTAACATTGTTTGGAATCAATAATCTTGCCCGATTCTTGAATACTCGTATGGGCCAAATGAATATTTTTCGTCAGGCCCAATTCAATAAGATAAAACTAGATCACATTTTCATAACTAATTTATTACACTTTTTCACAACTACTCCATAATCATGCCTCACAATAATTTTAAATTAGTTTAGAACATAACTCATGAACAATCGTAGATTGCTTTAGCCTCGATTAATAGTAAATCATCATAACTACGGGTATGGTTCTCGTGACGTAGTTGTGATACATAATTCTAAAATTCGGGGGTACATTCATGTGACCCGGCCACAATTTAATCTTGTTAAGTAAATAAATATATTGTAGATCATGGATACGGTTCCCGTGACATGATTCGCAATGTTTAATCAAATAATTAGTTATATAGCAGTTGAATTATTAAAAGCGGTTTAAAAAGAGTAAAATGCACATAGGTTCCAAAGTGTTTTAAAATCAGATAAACCGGCCAATAATAATAGTTGAGCGACCGTACTAAAATCACGGAACCCGAAAATGCCTAACACCTTCTCTCGGGTTAACAGAATTCCTTACCCGGATTTCTGTGTTCGCGGATTGTAAACCAGAGTCAATATTTCCTCGATTCGGGATATAAAATCGGTGACTTGGGACACCATAAATTATCCCAAGTGGTGACTCTGAACAATAACTAAATAATCCCGTTTTGATTGTCACTTAAATTAGAAAAAACACCCTTATACCATTTTTGGGGTAGAAAAATGAGGTGTGCCATAAGGTATTTACATTTTGATACTGCGTAAAGCTCCTCTTATTTTTGAATAATAGTAGAAACACCCATGTCAACAACTTTTTTTAAAATTATACCATGTCAAAACTCATTAAGGCCTCATTTGTTTGCACTTAATGGAGGTATGAATCTTAATCATTTAGATTTCAGTCATTAAGTATATTCGTTTTTTAAATCTGAATCATGATCATTCAGATTTTAACCATTAAATCTGTTTATTTTTTGAATTTTACAACCACTTAATGTGTCTGAATAGATCATAATTATTAAGATCTATAACAGAGTCTTAATATCATTAAAATATTATACATTTAAAAATTTATATAAAAATAATATTTCAAGGTAGTCTAGAGTATTCATAACAGTAGTATTGGCACGCAGTCTCACTTTCTGTTGGTAGTAGGTTTTTATGACTAACTGTTGTTTTCTTTCATTGTTGATCACCTTAATATCTTATTGTTTTTATTCTGCTTCTATATGGCTTTTTGATATTGTCCCTTCTTGTCTATATTTTCATTAATGTGGTGTTTATGCTTTCATGAGCCGAGGTTCTATTGGAAACAGTCTCTCTATCCTTACAAAGTAGTGGTAAGGTCTGCGTACACACTACCTTCCCCAGACCCCACAGTGTGCCCCCCAACCCATATCATTATAGACTGACATCACCCACTATCCAGAGGCGGATGTAGAGTGGCAATAACATGTTTAACTGAACCCAGTACTTTCGGGGCAAATCATAAATTTATGTGTAAAAATTTACTAAAATTATAATAAGTAGTAGGTTTGAATCTATAGTTTAAAATATATAATATGCTCATAGCAAAAAACCTTCAGGGTTGAACCTATAGAGCTTAAATCATGCATCCACCTCTGCCACTATCCACTACCCATTACCACCATCCACAGCCATAACTACCACTACTCTCAAGCACAAATATCAGTTGTCACTACCACTACCATCGTTTTCAACCATCACCACCAACTACCATTACCACAACAATCACCCATCACCACAACCACCACTATATATTATCCATCACTGTTATTAGTCACCACCACCCCTAATTATTACTATCATCCACCATCTACCACCCATAATCACGTCTATCAACCAACATCAACCCCAACCACAACCCACTTGGCATCCACGACCATCATTGTTAACCATCATCACCACCAACTACCATATAATTGTTTAAAAATATTTTATTAATAGTACTATTTAATTTGAAT